CTTCATGGCATTTTACATCAGAAATCTCTTCCTTATACCCCCAACAAAATGGCCTTGTTGAAAGGAAGCATAAACACATTTTGGAAATTGCAAGAGCTTTATACTTTCAATCTGGTTTAGGAGTGATTTATTGGACAAAATTTTTCACACATACAGTGCATTTAATAAATCGTAATCTATCAAACATCTTGAAAGATAAGACTCCATTTGAATTTGTCACACCCCCAAACCAAGGATGGCGGAAACATCCGGGGGTGGAGGACTTCATATATAGTATCATAACCACAATGGCAATAGTAATTCAAGCAAACACAACCAACATATATATAATTGAAAGAGTTACATCATTGTATGAATTACATGTTTCCAAATCAATTACAATATGTTGACAAAATATGAAATGTTGACGCCTTAACGTCCTATCCTCAAAATGCACTTCGTTACCTGTTTAGTGATTTCCTGAGAATACAAGTTGTTTGAAAAGTGTCAACACAAAGGTTGGTGAGCTCATAAGCTTTTGTTTTAAACTTGATAAAAGCCTTTCTTTTGTAAATTTCATATTTGTTCCAGAAAAATCCGATATTTTCCTTAAAATGTGTAGTGTAGTCTTATATCCGCAGACCGAAATGTATAAGTAACCTTTCTTACTTATAGAAAATAATGTAAGTTTAAATCGACATAAACACGTTTGAATTCAATGAAATTCCCATAAATTCTTATGTTTGTTAATACTTTCTGTGAGTTATTATAACCATGCTATGACCCAGTTGGCCTGAAACGACGTTCTTCAGGCGTCGGAAATGTTATGACATTTGTCACCCCAGACCTGCTGGTCTAACTGTTGCATGCAGTTAAGGTGTGAGTTTGTCAATCCTAATATAGATCTATATACAACTTTCACGCTCTCCCTCCAGGAGACTCTGGTTACAATACAGGACTTAATGGTAGATGTGAAACGAATGTCTCACAAAGTCATTAACGAATTTACATGTAATGTGATGAAAATCTCTTTTTGTATAAATGTACCCTTTTTGTATGAGTGTGCTATGTAATGTATTATAAACTATATCTATTATAGTTTATCAAAACAAGGGTAGTAGTGGTAATGTACGTAAACTATATTTAACGTAGTTTATTCAAATATTCGTATGAAATGGATGTACTTTGATTATAACAATTTGTTATCTTTTATATATGTATCAAAATCCATTTATTATCTGATGTATGTCTATATACCAAGACAAAATGTCATTTATTTGCAATAACATATATTCACATAAAGATGTATACCTTGCTCGACATGTTACAAGGTGAAATGAAATTGTTAGTATTTTTCTGTTATTAATAGATTCCATTACTATCCTTAGAAAATTTATAGAAAATTCATAGTAGATCCAAATCAGAATCTGTAAATTTTGGGAGTTTGGAAAATGAGTCTAGTTTGTTCATAAATTTTCCCATGATTTTTAGTGACCTCCAACTTAGGTGAAAATGTCCATAAACACAAACTGATCCAGTTTGGTTCTTGAAATGACAGGCAGTTTTGTAAAAATCACCATAAAATGTAGAAAAATCGTATGGAAATGTGCAAGTAGCCATTTTAAATCTAAGAACTTGAACTACTTGCAACTTGTACAGTTTTGAAAACTAAAATTTTTTAGTTGACCAAAACAGTCCATGAATGGAGTCTAACTTTTCTGATGAAAGCTGTTAGAAGCATTTAGTTGTGTTCTTGGTGATTTAACTTGTATCCCCCCACCCTTAAAACTTAATAAAATATGAAAATGTAGGGGTATGAACTCACATTGAGTGATTTTGGTGGATGGATGTTGGAGGAGAGAAGTGTTCGACTCAAGAACACTTGAAGGATTACTTTGAAGATTCAAGAATCTAACACAATAATGATGGAATTTTGTAAGCAATCAATGATTTGAGTAGACTGGAGTGTAATGATCACAAGGAGGATGAATTATACTTACCAGGAGTGTAAGAAAGCTTGATGATCAGCCTTAAATCTCGAATGTTTAGAGAGAGAAAGTGAGAGAAAGTTGTGTTTGATCTTTTGGTAAAATGAGAGAAATGAGTGAAGTGAGGAGTGTGGAGTGATGTTCCAGCTCTAATAACGTGGGAAAAGGTTGAAAATGATGTAAAAGTACATTGAAAAGACCTAGGCATGGTAGAAGGAGTGTGGTTGGTCAAGGAGTGGGTGTGAGGGGTTGCTTGTGTCATAAGTTAAAGGAAAGTTAACACTCCATCTTTATTACTCCAACCACTAAATCTTGGATAAGATTTGCATTAAAAACGTGAATAATAATACATATGGGTCTTAATATGTTAAAATAAAGTTTTGGGTGAAAATCCCACTTTAAAATGATGAAAAACGGGCTTAAAATGCTAAAAATATTGAAAATCGGGCAAAATGGCAAAAATCCGGATTTCTGGCCGCAGTCGCGAGGTCTCGGTCCTTAAGAAGTTGAGAACCGAAAGTAGGGAAGGGACCAAGAGAAGGGACATAAATAACCGAAGGTGCGAAGGCGGAGCTGAAGAAGCGAGGTTCGGTTCGGCGGGTTTCAGTCCTCAGTGGGTTTGGCTCTCAGGGTCTCGGTTCCAGGGTTTCGGTCCTCGGCGAGTCTCGGTCCATCAGCAGGTATCGGTTTAGGCTGTCTCTTGGTTTCAGAGGTCTCGGTTTCGGTTGTTGGGATCTCGGTCCTAGGGTTTCGGCTGCTAAGAGGGTTCGGCCTCTAAGAGCAGTTTCGGCTCCTTAAGGCTGTTTTTCTCGTTTTTACCCCGTTTCAAGCCATTTTTTTACCCGGTTAAGGGTCGGGATGGCCCGAAAGACAATGAAAAGTTATGGGAACTTTTGAGAGAGATTTGGGAGAGGTTTTAAATAAAGAGAGATAGAGTGAATACGCTTGAGGGAGGTTTCATTTGTGACCTTTTTGAGTGTCCGACTTCGCAATGCAAGGTCCGTAGACCCCATTAAGCCATGTTTTAGTGTACTACACACTCCCAATAAGTGTGTAATAGTGTTTTATCGCTTTGGTTCAATGTTTAGCATTATCACGGCTATGGAAATTCAAACTTACGAATTTTCCATTTGATGTTTTCTCATTAAAATAGCGGGTTGTTTAGTAATTACACAATGTAAACCCTAATACACAAGGACTAATTGAGTCGTTCGGTTTGACTTGTTGACTTTGTTCGACTTTGACTTGACCTGAAATTGACTATTGTCACATAATTTTTGTGTAACCAAAACCCAAATTTATCCAAGATTAAAGCCTTTGGTTGTCTATGTTATGTAGCAACTTCAAAAGTCAGTAGGGACAAGTTTATGCCAAGATCTGTTCGTTGTGTTCTACTTGGGAATTCATCCATGCATAAAGGATACAAAGTAGTTAATCTCTTAACAAAAGAACTATTTGAGAAAAGGGATGTTAAATGTTTTGAAGATTTGTTTCATTACATTCCTATAACAACTCTTTACCATCATCATCTACATATTCATACATCCCAATCAATTCTAGTGAAAATATTCCTAATAATGACATATCAACGATTTATATTCCTTCACCAAATCCACCAAATGAGCGAAAAGAACCAAATGAACCACATGCTATGCCACGACAAAGCAATATAATTCGAAATCCACCTTCTCATCTTTAACATTTTGTATGCAATCATCTATCCTCTCATATAGATGATATTTCTTGTTACTACACCTTGACTGATCTTTGCATCAATCATTCTTCATGTACCCTTAAACATGTTTTCTGTTCCAAAGTTAGTCATGCTCTTCAATCTATAAAGACATTTTGAACCTGCTTTTTATCATCAAGCTCAAGGTAAACTTGAATGGGAACAAGCAATGGAAAATGAGTAACAAGCTTTACAACAAAATCATACCTGGATACTACTTCTGTTTCCACTTCACTTCCACCAAAGCTTCATTTAACTTCCTCAATGCCTGATCTTTTCACCAATCCTACTTCTTATAGGTAATTAATTGGAAAACTAAACTTTATTGTTTACACAAGACCAACTTTATCATATGCAATACAACATCTAAGTCAGTTCAATCAACAACCAAGTCAATCTCACTTTGATGCAACCTTACATGTTTTACGTTATTTGATGCAACCTTACATGTTTTACGTTATCATCTTTTGTCTCCAATCTGGTTCGTGCTTCTCAGTATTATATTTCTACACTTTTGTAGACCACAAATCTTTCTCTGTTTTTAGTTTTTAAACAAATTTATGTTCTTGTTTCTTGAACCGAATTATACCTCAAAAGATATCTTGCGAAAGCATGGAGGGCAAAATCGTCATACACGGGAATATGTGATACCTCTGTGGACATGGATGGGAGCATCGCAGATTTAGAGAAGCCTCCAAAAGCACCTGTAAGTCACTATAAAAGCTTCTAAAAATGAGTTTTCTGACAGATTTATAAATCTTGTCACATTATTCTCTGTTCTTAAATTATCAATTTTTTTATTGCAGCCCACGAAGCGTGGTTTTGGTTTTAGCCTCTTTAAGAAAACCACTGGTACTCCTTAAATTATCAATTTTTTTTATTGAAGTCTTACAAATTAGGTTCCAAAGGTACTTGTTTTGTCACCATACTGAGTTCAATGAACTTTAAACTTCTAGTCTCCCGTATAGGTTCTCACTCAGAAAGTCAGTTATGCACCCTCTTCAATCACATATTTTTTTGATAGGGGTAGTTTGGGAAATCATCAAATAAAGAGAATCTTATTAGGGCAGGGGCATTTTAGTCATTTTATATTAGTTAATTCGTTATGAAGGATAGTTTGGCTGATTCTCTTTCCCACTACCCTCTTATACCATCTGTTATAACAAACTAACTAATATAAAATGCCTAAAATGACCCTAATGTCCCTGATTCTCTTTACTTGGTGATTTCCCAAACTACCCCTATCTAAAAATACGTGACTGAAGGACACTTTTCTAGCGAACTAAAAAACATCACCATTCATGAAAACTGCATCACAAAGATTAGCATGTAAGAATCTTTTCTATGTTTCAATCAGTTATAAAATGAAACAAATTCTTTGAGTTATATGCATCAACCTAAAGTGTATTCTGGTTAGCAATAACAATATTTCATACTGGGAAGGTGAATGTGTATGATGATATCCCAGCTGATAAGGTATATATAATATAATATCTTATTATGCGAAATTCAGCTTGTAATTAATTATTAATGTCAATGTCACTAACTGTGTAGTTTCATTTCAGGCACGTGCCTTATTGCAGCTTGCTGCAAGCCCTCTTCAGTTTCCTCATGAAGATCCAGTTGATGGAAACATGTTGCAACAACCTCCAAACATCAATCTGCCAATCTTGCAAATAGGTACAAAAAATAAATGTATGATGTATTTCACCCTAATAATGCTGAAACAAGAAGTAGTATTACTAAGTTAAGTTGACTTATGCAGTGAAATCGACTGATAACTATCGATTGAACAAAGAGGAAAGCAACATATCGCGTGAAGAAATCTCTGGTAAATATACAAAATTACCAAAATTGACCTATAAATGATGTTCTATCTTTTAAACCTGATGAAGGTATAAAAGCTGTTGTAATTTGAACAATTTCATTGGTGAACAACATTAGGACAACTATAAGCGGCTCTGTACCACAAGATGTGCGCATTGTACAAGTTGATAGAGTTTATATAGTTTCAGGGCTTAGAAATGGCATGCTACTTAGGTTTGAAAGACCTTCTGTCTCTACAAACTCACCTATGCGTTCTTCGATGATGACAAAAGACGAATATACCCATGTTTGTCTTCAGCTGATTTCAATCCGACGTATTGGAATCACACCTGCTTTCTTGGTTCCATTGAATGATCTCCCTGATGCTGACATCATCGCCCTCAGTGACAGACCTTGGTTATTACAAACTGCAAGACACAGTCTTTCATACACTTCCATCTCCTTCCAAGCTTCCACACATGCAACTCTTGTATGTTCAAGCAAATGCCCTAATGAGATCTTATTCGTTTAAGACAACAGTCTCCATTTGGTAAGACTTTTTCAAAATTACCAAATTACCCTCGCATCGTTATGTTTAACATTTTTGTTTTAGTTGGAAATGGTGCATAGAAAGAGGCTGAATGTGCAGAAATTTCACCTTGGAGGGACACCAAGGAAGGTTTTATATCATTCTGAAAGCAAATTGTTGTTGGTTTTGAGGACATATTTGAGTGATGATTCGTGGTCATCTAATATCTATTGTGTGGATCCGTTGAGTGGTTTGATTTCATCATCTTTTAAACTTGAGCCTGGAGAAACAGGGAAGTGTATGGAGTTGTTGAAAGCTGGAAGTGAACAGGTATTGGTGGTGGGCACTAGTCTCTCCACTGGTCCTGCCATAATGCCAACTGGTGAAGTTGAAAGGTTAGTATATTCTACTCTTGACTAAATTACAAAAACAGTCCCTGTGTCTTTTGATTTTCACCATATGTTGTCCCAAATTGTAGCTTTTCTCAGTTTTGGTCCTTATTGAAAGTGTTCCATGAAGCATAAGGAAAAATCTATAAAAATAGGACTGAAATGAACAAGGTTTCAGTTTTGGACTGAAGTATGGTAAAAATCAAAAAGCACAAGGACCATTTTTGTAATTTACTCTTCTTTTGAATAAACCACAAAAATGATCTTTGTGGTTTGTTTTCAGTTTAGTACAAAGTTAGAGTATTTTTCAGTTTTGGTCCTTATTTTCAATGGTTCATATTGGTTTTTTGTCTTTATTTTGAGGTTCCATGGTCCAAAATTGATACGAAACCTTGAAATAAGGATTAAAATTGAAATAAATATTACAAATTTAGACTAAACGTGGTACAAATTAGAAAGCACCAAGACAATCCATGTCATTTACTCTTCTCTTGAGTAAATTACAAAGATGGTCCCTATGCTTTCTGTTTTGTTTTTACTTCGCTTAGTCCAAAATTTAAACTTTTTTCAATTTTGGTCCCCGGAGCTTTCTGATTTTTGTCTTTTTTTCAAGGTTTCATATCGATTTTCATCCTTATTTCAAGGTTCCATGGACTAGAATTGATATGAAACCTTGTAATACAGACCGAAGCATGAAATTTAAGATTAGCTTATGCAACAAATATGTGTGGCATTGTTCTGGCTTTATGTCCTTATCTTGATTGCTATTTCTTAGCCTATGCTGATAGTTCTGTAAGTCTCTTCTTCTTCTTCTGACTAAATTACAAGAAATGATAATTTGGTAATTTTTTGTTTGTTGTTGTTTAGTTTTATGTATGCAGCTTTCAGAATGATAGCAGTTTAAGGGTGAAATGGTTCAGCAAGCAGAAAAGCATCGGTGCAAAGATATCTAGAGAAGCGAAAAGATAGGTAATATCTTGAATACTCTACATGGGTAAATCCAGTCATATTTTTGTCACCATTATAGGGCATTAAAGACAATAAACCTCATTTTGTCATCATTAGAGTGCATTTAAGACTCATGATTTATATTCATGCATTTGTAAATGTTTTTTACTTTTTTTTTCTTGTAAATTGCCCATTTTACCCCTTGAGTTATAGAATTAACCATTTTAGTTACTGCTGTGGACGATGAAAATGAAGGATCAGAAGATCATCAGTCTTCTCTAGAACTCAACTTCTTGTCTGATGTCTAGTATATGGTTCACAGTTTATTGGTTGGAATCCAGATGTCTACTCAAATTTTAATAGTAAGTTCTTTTTTTTTTTTTTTTTTTTTTTTTTTTTTTTTTTTTTTTGTATTTGTAAGTTATTTTTACTAATAACAATAGATAATTACTTTGCTCTTCATGGGATTTTCAGGTATTGTGTTACTTGGCTTCACTATTTCCTGAAAACATAAACTTGTTTTGGGAAGACGAGGTACCAAGTTATGTAGTCAATAATCCAGAGGTATATATTTATATTATATAATTTTTATTTATTTTTTATGCTTATTTTGTGTTTAGTCTTCTTGCTCAATGATATTTGTTTCGAATCTTCTTTAGAAAACTGGAAGGAGCATGCAAGAGGAAGTGGATACATCTGGCTATGATGCTATTAAATGTATTATAAGATTTAGTATTAATTGTTAAGAACTTGTTAATATATCAGTTAAAGTTGTAATCATTAAGTCTTTGAATTTCAAGAAAATGCATTTGAAGAGGACGAAAGAGAAACAAACTGGAGGGTTTGAAGGTCACAAATATTCAAAAGCTGCTAAAAAAAGAAGGAAAAACTTTAAAATTTATGGGGGGAGATCATATGAGATGGGAGGTGATGTGTCGTTCATGCTGGAATTAACCAACAAAAAGAGTGTGTACTGCTTCCAGACAGAGGATTATAAGTCCATTCCATGCTGGAAAAGCAGCTACAGTTTGACTCTATGGAAGTTTCAAATTGACCTAAAAAGAAAAAGAAGGTAAAACATCCGGTATGTTGACATTTACTCGAGTGTTTTTTTTTTAAATTATGTTCTACTTTTTTGACTTTTAATTTTGTTTTATGGTGTTTCAGAGATACACATTTGACCACCGATGGCAACTTGATTCTAATTTTCAAAGTGACCAGGTAAAATTCCAACATTTAAAAAAACGTGCTTTGTTATAGAGTATTAAACATGTTGATGCACATCAGTTTGATTCGAATGGAAGCAGTGGTATCTCATATGGTTTAATTTTGGCAAACTATTTAACTGTTGATACATTTATTAGATAATTTATTTAACAATCATACTCACTTACAATGGCGTCTCAAATGAGTAATATTTCCAATCCAAATAAGATCATGAAATTACTAGTGCTTGATCGTGATCGTGGAAGGAAAGCCAAAGCACTTAAGGTATTATTAACTAATTCATTGCTTTTAATTACACTCTAAATTCCTTTGCGTTTTTTGTTCATAGATTACAAGCACCAATTTCTTTCAAACAACAGAAGATCTAGAGTTTAATTGGGTGATTGAAGGTGATGGATGTAAACTTGATTCTGGAACTCTCAGTCTACCAACATTAGACTTTAATTGGGTGATTGAAGGTGATTTTGGTTCTTGAAACGAGACTCCAGATATCATATTTTGGTATGGCTAGAAGCTTTGGAGGAAACGCGACTCAAGCAAAAGTAAACACACGGAGAGTCGTTGGCACATAGTCAGCTAGATGATGCAATTGTATATAAATGAGTTATTTTTTTATAACATTTACTCACTATTGGAATAATTATTTGTATTTGACATATTAGTGAAATGAATTATCTTTGTTATTTATGGTATTTTATTTTGTATTATGAGATTTTTAATGTATCTATTAATCTATAGACGACGCGCAAAAGCACGTCGTCTCTCTTTATGACAGGGCCTTCCTTGACGTGCATTTGCACATCGTCTGAGCCTTTTACGACGCGCAATGAGCATCATAAAAGGCTGTTTTTCTAGTAGTGCAACCTACTTTCCAGGTAGAAGCTTATTGTGACTCTGATTAGGCTGCTTGTCCAATCACTCGTCGATCAGTTAGTGGCTATTTTATATTACTTGGAGAGACACACCTTTCTTGGAAGTCCAAGAAACAAGCTACTATTTCTCTTTCTTCAGCTGAGGCTGAGTACAGATTGATGTGACGAGAGTGTGCTGAGTTAACCTGATTAAAAAGGATTTTTCATGAGTTATAAGTCTCAAACATTACTCCAATTCCACTCAAATGTGACAACCAAGCAACAATTCATAAACTCGCAATCCAGTCTTCCACGAGCGTACTAAGCACATCAAAATTGATTGCCATTATGTTCAAGAAAAACTACAAAACAGGTTGATTAATTTGTCTCATGTCACTTCCCAGGATCAATATACTGATGTGCTTACCAAATCATTAAATGGATCTCAAAATGCTCAAGCCATTTCTAATATGGGGTTACAACATTACCCCCCTAGCGTGAGGGGGTGTTGATTTATCAAAGCTTACAATAGCGGAGGATGAAGTAACATAGGATGTAGTGGCGACGAGTGGTTTTAGTGAAATCATCGATGATAAATGAAGGAAAATGGATATGGGTTCCTATAGTTTTCTTGTTATAGAATTGAAGGAAGAAAACATCCAGATTTAAACTTCAATTCCAAAAACTATTGATGTTGTGTTTATGAGGAAGAAGGGTAACACGTGGAGAGAGAGAGAGAGAGAGAGAGAGAGAGAGAGAGAGAGAGAGAGAGAGAGAGAGAATTTTAGTAAACTAGAGACCAATAAAGTAATTTTGTATAACTTTTAATGTCGAATACTTAACATTGTAATGGTTTGATTGTAACACACGATATTCCAAATTACGAGTTCTGTCTAATCCAATAAATGTATGGATTAATTTTGTAATATGATAAAAATAACACATGAAGTTGGATGGGTTGCGGTGAGTGTGAAATGATATTTTTGTCATTTTAATAAAAAAATAATGAATAAAATCTAAAATCATTGAATGACAATTTAGTCAACCATATAATTTAATAGATTTTTTTTAATAATTTGATCAATGAAACACAATTTTTATTGAAATTGCATTCCAATTGCTTCAAATTCCTTTCTATATCCAATAACCATACACTCCTTTAGTTTAAAAAAAAAGGATTAGAAGGAGATTTAACCTTATTCTAATAAAACCCGATAATACATCACAATTGGGTGTTACAAGTTACACTTGTGAGTTGTGACAAAAGAAAACCCAAGTACCACTGTTCAGAAACGAGAGGCATTATTAACTTGATTAATGAAGGTACAAATTCTTTTGCGCAAAGTACAAGCGTTAGGACTAGAAGTTCTGAAGAGAAAGAACACATGATCCTCTTCCTTTGTCTCAATCATCTCCAATTTTCCAGGCCATCCACTTTTATCCATCAATTCCTTATAATATAATCCCCTGTCCCTAAAACTATCCTTTTCTGCAACACATAAAAGAATCTTGGAGCAACCCAAACCCGAAAGCTTCGGGTCCTTTTCCGGGTTAAACCACGGGTCATCCAACCCACTCACTGAAGAATTCGCCAACTTCCAGAATTGATCGGTATAAACTTTAATCTGCTTATGTTTCCCAAGTTCGGATCCAATCGGATCTTTTCCTCCGAAATACGGGTGGAGAAGAATGACACCCTCGAGGCTAATAGATTCGATCGGTTCTGACCCGGCCCGGATTGCGATGTTATGGGCGATATTTGCTCCGGCACTATCTCCGGCGAGAAATACCTTCTGAAAATTGCCATGGTCATTTAACCATGGCTCCGGACCACCACCTTTACTATGGGAAGCTACCCACTTGATCGCGTCCCACGAGTCGTTGTATCCGGTGGGAAGAGGGTGCTCCGGCGCCAGCCTGTAGTTAACGGAGACGACGATAACGTTGGACTCCGCCGTTATAAGGTTCAGTGTAGGGTGGTAGGTAGGAGACGCGGCGGATTCGACTAAGAAACCACCGCCGTGGAAGAAAATCAAGATTGGCAGTTTCCGATCTGGGGTTGTGGTTTTGGGAATGTAAAGACGTGCAGACAGGTTGGTTTCCGGCGAGATGACGACGTCTTTTGAGTGGACTCCGGTTGAAGGATCGATTCCGGTGGGCATAGTCTTGTAGCCCACCAATCTTTCACATCGGCCATCTTTGTGTACTCGAATAAAACCATGGATTTGGTGGAGGAATTCATCGGATTTTATTATCTTTCCCGATCCAAATACAGAAGACATTTTTCGATGATTTTGGAGAAGTTTTTTGATCTTGGAATTATTTAAGAATGAGTTAAAGGATGTAGCTGAAAATGACGGAGTAACGTAAGCATTGACAGTTTGAGAATGTTTCGAAAAGACCCTTTGATTATGGGATTATTTCATTTGAACCCTCACTAGTGTAAAATCTTTGAATTAGGAGTCATATGAAGTCAAACTACAAGGTCTCAAATTGCAGCACCGAAGAACACATCTACATAATTACACAACGTATTAATATCATTTGAACAAAATTGAATAACTGATTAATATATTAAAAAAACAAGTAACTAATTTGTAAGTGTGTATTCGGGTATATAATATAGGAGAATATGGATGGTTTAAGTAACTCTACCATGGAAGTAGGGATATGTTGT